AGAGGTAACGAAGTGTCACCAAGTTATTATCAGCCTTCCTTTCTCTCTTCCTAATTAGTTCCTATGTGTCTTTCTGTACAATTGGGGTTTGGTGGGGTTGAAGACTTTGTAAATCAGACCATAGTCTGGAAAGCTGGGGAGGAATGGAAATAAAGGCTGAAATTTACTTTTCTCTGAGTTTAGATTTATTCAATTCCTTCACTAAGCAAATTTCTATTGAATACTGAAGGTGGGCAATCACTATGTTCTCTGCATGAGATAATGGATAGAAAGTCCCTACATAGTCTAAGGAAAATAGACATAAACAGACAATTCCAGTACATTAAGGCTTAGTGGAAGCATAGCAGAATGAGCTCCTGATTTTTTTTTATTTAGGTAAATCTATTTTTCCTGAATTCTATTTTGATGACATCCCTACAGTGTATTTATTGTTTATTCTTTACAGTTTAAGAGGTATATAAGTCATCTGTACTGAATTTTTATTTCCTCAAATAAGTTATATTACATAATCACTTAATTTCTTCTAAATCTCCTCTCTTTTATAAAAATAGGTATATATATGTATATATATATATACATAAATATATATATATATTTATATATATATATATATTTTACCAGGAACAGGGGAAAGGAAAGGAGAGGGAGGGATGGAAGCCAAAGGATACAAAGTAGTAGATATACAGGATGAAAAAAGTAAAAAATCTAACATACAGCATGAGGACTATAGTTAACAATAGTATATGGCATTCATGACATTGCTAAATTAGTAGATTGTAGCTGTGCTGGCCACTGAGAAGCAAAATGAGTAACATGTAAAAGAATGCATACATAGATTTGTTCCTCTGTAGGGACTATTATATTCCATGTATGCCTTATAACATCATGTGCATAACTTAAATAAATATACACAATAAACTTTATTTCAAATTCAATTTTTCATTACAAAATTATATGTGTATATATATAATGGGAAATAAATTAATATAGCAAAAATAACTCTGACTTAAGAAATGTTAACATTTTATCATAATTACTTTATATCAAATTTTTGAAAATTAAATACTTTTGCTATGTTCTTGATGGCTCCCAACACCCATTCCTTTCCCTCCTTGTGTATTATTTATTTCCATATTCTATAAACTAAACTACCTGTGTTTCCATATAAACAGTATATGAATACTGAACATATGTTTTTATAGCTTTTAAAACTATTCACTATCAGGCTTTTGAGATATATGCCTGGTGATACACAACAGCTCACTTTATTGATTTTAACTATTTGAATGCTTTCTCATTTTCATTCAGTTTATGTTTCCTCTAGTATTAGTGAGATCAAATATATCCTATGTCCTTTGGAAATACGGTGCTCATTTTATGTGAGTTAGTTGTTCATAACTTTTTCCCAATTTCTTGTGTGTATCTATGCGTTCTTATATGAACGTGAACTTTCAGTTTTGTTTCATTCCCTTACTCACCTAAATTGGTGTTGATACTATATTTTTCTCTCTTTAAGACTTAGGCTGTGCCAGGTACAATGGTATGTGCCTATAATCCCAGTGGCTCTGGAGGCTGAGGCAGGAAGATGTCAAGTTCATAGCCAGGTTCAGCAACTTAGTGAGGCCCTAAATAACTCAGCTAGACCCTATCTCTTAATAAAATATAAAAAAGGGCTGGGGATGTGGTTCAGTGGTAAAGCACTCTAGGTTCAATCCTTGGCATCAATATTCCATTTTTTTTGCCTGATATCTTATTTCTTTCACTTTATATTCAGTATATTTTTTAAATAGAAATTACTTTTTAAAGTAATAAAATAAATACTTTTTAAAATAAAGTACTTTTTAAAATAACTTACTTTATTTGTATTTGTTATGATTACAAATATGTTGAAATTATTTATATTCTTATGTGTAGTGATTTTTTTTACCAGGCTTTTTTATTCTTCATTTGTTAGTTTCTTATTTTCTTCCTTTGAAAGATTTATTGGAGCTTCTATACATATTTTTTTAAATATTTTTTAGATGTTCATGTACCTTTATTTTTTATTTATTTATATGCAGTGCTGAGGATCGAACTCAGTGCCTCATAGTTGCCCAGGTAAGCACTCTGCCACTGGGCCCCAGCCCCACCCCTCTATACCTATTTTTTATTCTTTTTTTATTTTAGAAGTTATAATTTTTAATGCATTTTTATAGTTGTAGTTGGACACAATAACTTTATGTTATTCATTTATTTTTATGTGGTACTAAGGATCGAACCAAGGGCCTTGTACAAGGCAAGTACTCTACTTGTGTGAGCCACAACCCCAGCGGTAGAAGTTATAATTTTAAGTCTATCATTTCAATAGTTGCCCTAAAAGTTTACAAATGCATTCTTGACTTAATATGCTGTAAGTTCAATAAAAATGAAATAGTGATTTTTTTTCTCCCACACTTGAAAGGATACAATGAGACCTTAATATGCTTGGACTTTGATTGTTCATCAATTAGACATATTATTTTCCCAAGTATTTTAGTTTTTATGTTTTTTGAATCCTGCTGTAAATTAGTCATTAATGCATTATTGTTTTGTAATTGATGTATATTTTGACTTATTGACCAATATCTGTGTTCATCTGTGCTGCTTCTATTCCAGTCCCTTTTGTTTTTTTTAACTTTTCATTGAATTTTTTTTGTTGTTGTTACTTTCAATACTGAGCCGTATTTTCATTGAATATTGTTTTGTTTTTGTTACTTTCAATACTAAGCTGTAAGCAGCATAATCTCTTAATCTTTATTATCTGAAAAGGTCTATTTCTCTCATTTTTGCATAAAAGTGAAACTATATAAAATTCCAATAGCTGTCATTCAGTATGAAATGTATTTCTAAGTTGTCTTGAGGTGTCTATTATTTTTGTAAACATCTCCTGTTTGCCTAATTTTTGTTACTCTGTAATTATTTGAGTATTTAGTGTTCCTTTTTGTTGCAAAATTTTTGTTATTATTTTTCAGTGTTCTGTAGTTGAACTCTGTATGTCTTAGGTGAAAGTTTGCATACATTTTCCTATTTGAAATTCTATATAATTTAACTAGAGTACACATCAGCTTTATGTATATTTACATGCATGTATGCATATATATCAATTAAGGCTCCCATGAACAAACTCATTGTCTGTCTGAACACTGGTTCTCTAACTTCTGGAACTCTTTTTAAACTAAGTGGGAACATTTTCACAGCACTACAAGGACTCTCAGGGTCCCTCTGTATCATCCTATTTTATGGTTCCCCTCATCCTAGAGCCTCTTTAAATAGCTCTCACTCAGGCACCCTCTTCCTCATGGGGATTTGATCAGACTCTTTTCTGCTTGAGCCACCATGCTCCTTCCAGTTAGCTGCAGCTCACCTTCCAGGAGGACTTCACCCACCTCTCTTGTGGGGTCCTGTTCTCATCTTTAATGCTACATATGCTTTCAAGCACTTGGGGAAATTGTGCTTTTATTTGTTTGAGGATCCAGTTAAGGTCAGCCCTTCTACTAGATGTCCTGCTACACGACAGTACTGTGTGTGTGTGTGTGTGTGTGTGTGTGTGTGTGTGTGTTTTCTTGACATTTAATAGACACTTGGGAAATGACAGTGCAGAAATTAAAAAGAGGCATGGCCTATCACATCATCAGTATTTTATCAGCTCTGAAATTCAGCTTCACATCCCTCACAGTAGATGAGTTTCCTCTCTTTTGCCGCAAATATTTAATACAATTAAAAACCTGGGGTAGATACAACTCCAAGTGAACTGGTACCCAGTGCCCATGGGCCATGACAGTTCCATTACCTCAGATTTGTTAGGTATACCTTCCCACTCCAATCTTTACATATCGCGCTTAGAATGAGACAGTGTACCACCATTTGTGCCATCATTTATGGCTAAATTTTTTACAGAATATGCCTTCTGGAAGAATTGTGTAAGTTTAAAAGTAATGACAACTCTAAAAGTCAAACAACAAAGAAAATCCTTATGCCCACACTTGAACTGCAGAAAGGATCCTCAAGGTATTTACCTAACAAATATTTCCTGTCCCCCTAATAAGTATCAGTTACTATATCAGGTCATCAGAATATAACAGCAAAACCAATCAAGGGCACTTCTCTCACTGAGATTAGGGGCTATGTGGTAAACATTATTTCAGTATTCACACTACTGCTCAACATGTCATTAAAATAATGTGAAAGTGTTCAATGAAACAAATAAGATTGCTTGGGGGATACTGAAAATATTAGCTTGACCTATAATTGCAGTGGGATTGGGAAGTCATTCATGAATGCCTCCTGAATTAAAACTCTTAATGTTTGAAAGAGTTAATTTGATGTAGAAGAGAAGCCAGAGCGTTTCAAGAGAAATATTCATATGTGTAAACACCCTGTGGCAGGAAGCAGACTGGCAATGATAGTGGTCAAAAAGAAGACTGAGAGACTTGAGAACAGAAAAGAAGGGAATTTATTAGGGTTGAAGATGGGAGGATTTTTAGGAGTGAGAGCAGGCGATGTGCTCAAGCTAACTCAGCACTGCCTAACAAGGGCCAATTATGTTTTCAGAAGCAAAACCACGATTGAAATTTTGCACATTATATTATTTGCCTTTTTCTCACTTTCTGCATTGAAACAATCTTCTCCTCTAGCTTTCTATGTGCTAAGCAGGAGAGAAGTCATATTCTCTTACAAAGAAGTTACATTTTTACATCAGAATTCTCTTTGGTGGGTGTATCAGAGCCAGGAATAGAATGTGCACATAAATAGTGTATTAAATTCTAGGCATTTGAAATTGTGCTATCAAGCAGTTAGCACTTTGCAGGATGTAGCTGCTCTGTAAATTTATTGACTGAAAATTTGAAGCAGCAGTGGAATTCACAGTTCAATATCAGTCAATGCTCCCATAGCAGATGATAGCTAGAGCAAAAAAAAAAAAGTTTCTAGCATATTCTGTTTTGAATCATTCTTCAACACAATTACCTTGTCCTTTCTACCAGGTGGTTGACCAGATTGATACCCTGACCTCTGACCTACAGCTGGAGGATGAGATGACAGACAGCTCCAAAACAGACACACTGAATAGTAGCTCCAGTGGTACCACGGCCTCCAGCATAGAGAAGATCAAAGTGCAAGCTAACGCACCTCTTATTAAACCGCCAGCGCACCCATCTGCTATCCTCACAGTCCTGAGAAAGCCAAACCCTCCACCACCTCCTCCACGGTTGACACCTGTGAAGTATGAAGACCCTCAAAGGGTGGTGCCAACTGGCAATCCTGTCAAGACCAATGGCACCCTTCTACGGAATGGAGGCTTACCAGGTGGACCCAAGAAAATTCCAAATGGAGATATCTGCTGCATACCCAATAGTAACTTGGACAAGGCTCCAGTGCCGCCTCTGATGCACAGACCTGAAAAAGACAGGTGTCCCCAGGCAGGGCCTCGGGAACGAGTACGATTCAATGAAAAAGTGCAGTACCATGGCTATTGTCCTGACTGTGATACCCGGTATAACATAAAAAACAGGGAGATCCACTTACACAGTGAACCTATCCACCCACCAGGAAAGATTCCTCTCCAAGGCCCTCCCCTCCCTCCTCCACCCCATCTTCCTCCTTTCCCCCTAGAAAATGGGGGACTGGGAATAAGCCACAGTAACAGCTTCCCCCCTCTCAGACCTGCAACTGTGCCTCCTCCCACTGCACCAAAACCACAGAAGACCATCTTGAGGAAATCAACCACTACAACAGTGTGATGTATGCCATTTAAAAAACTTTTTGGTTTTATTTTTATTTTCTATATTATAAGCATAAAAATAATAAGTAATGAGCACTTTCTACTCAAGCAATAAAAAGCCCAAATAAACTAATCCTGCATTCAACAAAGTGGCATAAAAACCACCTGGTAAGTATTCAGCGCATTGCTTATGTCCTGAGTTCACATTATTTTAAATGCACATCATCAAAAACTGCAGAACAATGAAACCTTTGAATGCATTGTTTTTGCACTTGACCTATGACAAACTGTGACCTTCAGATTTCAAATATTTTGATTTATAATGAGAAATGGGATTTCAAATATTTTGATTTATTAATAAACCCAAAGCGTGATCCATTTTATTCCTGCCTAACTCATCTATGCATTAAAACATGTCACACTCTTAACTTTGATCTAATGCTTTTTAATAAGAAATTTTAATACAGAAGGACTATTTTGTTAATTTTTCTAAAGATGTTTGTCACTAGTTTTGCATTATTAAATGCTGAGGATAATACCAGAAGTTTATTTTCTATGCTATACAATTACTAATTAAATGTTCAGCTATATATGTAATAAAATATTTTGGTCTGTGGAAATGAATATCAATAAATAATAGTAAATAATGACAAAACCAAGTGTTCCTCAGAATTAAAATGAAGTATTGGTTCATTTAATCCTATGTTAATATTAATCATAGTGGGTGACAACTCTAACAGAGTTTGGAGAAGATCTCAGTGAGCGTATGTCAGAGTTTTCTAAATTACATATAACCCTTGTCATAAACGCATCTACACATTTTCATATTGTCTGCTTCCATCACGGTATTTCAGGAGCTGCCTGTTGATCTCCCTGCATGTTGCCAGGCCTTATAAACTCTTGTCACACTCAGCATTCTTCCAGGGTACACTGGAAGTCATTGCAGCTGTGGAATGTTTTGCCTCCTGCACCAACAAGTTCTCTGCCTCCCTGAAAGAACCCACATTCACAGGACACTCAAAGGAAAAATATAGATGTTTCTGGTAACAGGTTGTGTTCAGCATTGGCCTGAAGCTATTTTTCTTCACAATTGAAAGACGTCTCTTTGCTCTTCCATAGCATCTTTTGCTTCTATTACCAAATAAAGGTTCTTTTCTTCAGTCTTATTTGACTTGCCTACCCAAGAGCCAAGTTTGATTCCCAATAGCATTGATTTGCAATGATAAGATGTTTTGTCCTAGAGGTAGAATGAGTTTATTTCCCTTAGAGTCATGGTGAAGAATAATGCCTGAAAATAAACTGGTCCAGAGTAGAGAGAATTGTTGTCGGTGGAAATTTGTTTATTGTGTAAGCTGAATATAGGGTAAGCTGATCCTTTTGAATATATGACTTTTGATTTTAAATAACTTTTGCTGCTACAGAGAGAGAGTCAGTAATTCTTTCTTTGTTATCTTTTCACATCTGTCATGATAATTTGGAATACTGTTTTAACAACTTTCTATTAAAAGATGATAATGTATTTTGGATAGAATATGAAAATAAAACAGGCTTTTCCAAGACATAATCAAATGAGTTAAATACAGAATTTTAAGGTTTTGCTCAGCCTATTGTTTTATCTTCATGTCTTGGACATAAAGATAATGCAAGCAGAATAACACAGTGTTTTAAAAAATTTTAACTCCTAAGAAAAATAATCAAGAAAAACTAAATCTAAAATATAGTAACTGTATGACCAATACATTTAAAATGTATGACACAGGCAATAAATGGTTAACTTGCTGCATACCAAAATAATATGCTAACTTTTTACTGGATGCATTCAGTCTTGAGATAACTCAGGATTCATTGTGTTTCTTGGTTTAAACAATTACTATCATTCATATTTGGGTCAAGTGCTAAACCTTTGAAGATTATGAATAGTCATAGAAGACATAAACTTTTCTTTTTTTTTAGTTCATCTTCCTTCTTCAGTCAGTTACAATGACTTCAGTCAGTTAGAAACCACCATATTATCTGAGAAAATCTTGACCCTTGTTGAGTTCTGGAAACCAAGCTGGATCTCAAAGTAGACCTATCTTGCAATTACTAGTCATCAGCAGAGTAGATAATTTGCTTGCAATACAACAAGTTGAATAAGTTGAATCATTCTAAGCTGATTGAAGAAGGACATTGTGTCATATGCTAGAGAAAAACCTCAAGAGATTCAATTCCATCTCTCTTCCTAAAAGTGTAGACAAAGTTTCCCCAAGAAAGATCATATTTCTCTTTTTGGTTGGTGTTCTATACCAAAATTACACCCATTTTTAATTCAACACATTTATAACTAACTATTGGCCTAAAATTTGAGTTGAATCTTAACCCCAAAATGTTACAATTGTTGGTTTTACTCCTTGGTAAATTTTATTTATTTATAATCAACGTTAAATATTAGATTACAAAAATATTGAGATTTTTGTACTCAGATTATTTCATTATTTCATTAATCTATGGATTATATTATACTATTTTGTCTTTTTGACCAACTGATAATTTTGCAACATTCACTGAAGCTTGATTATATTTTAAGTATATATACACTTGTGAAATATGGATAATAACTTATATATAACATCATTATATTTTCCTTGGAAACTATAATTAAAATGTCATAGATGGCAGTATAGTCTTTGTTATCAGTCAACATGCTTTCAAAATTTAAATTTTGAAGTACAAACACTCTACATTTTCCTTCAAATCATCATAAAACATGATATCTTTCCTCATAAGAAACCAAAACAGAAAAAAAATAAGAGCAGCTACTTTTTAATGATATGCTTTTGAACATTTTTATCTATAATAGTATGTAACACAGAGATAGCCTCCATTTTCCTTTGATAGTAATGATCCTAGGAAATGTAAAATGGCAGTACACTGCTTATGACAAAATCCATTCATAGTATAAAAATAAAATGTATTTGAACAAGCATGGCACTCATTATTTAAATTAGAATAAGAAAGATTTTTGACTTTTTAGTTTAGACATGATTTTTTCCATTTTTGGAGATTATTGTATCTCTAATGAAGATAAAAAAATTGACCAAAGTTCTTATCTATATACCAATATTTATAATAAATTATAAAAAGAAATAAAACCAATATTTTTACATCATACTTAAGGCCTAATATGAAAATATCCTTTACAAAATACAATGCAAATGTATCTAAAAAAATTTCCTACACTTCTAATATGATATAATGTTCATACTTCCCCTTATTAATTTAATAATATTTTGGGCAAAAATGAATCTTTTTTGTAGAAGAGATTTAATTAACTTAAAAATCTTATTTTTGACTTATTACTACATCATTGTTATTTAATAAATATAGGAAAAAGTCACAATATTTTATATCACCTGCTTTGGACAGATTTGTAATTGCTTTTAGCATGACTAAACAGCAGCTACACAGTCTCTGAAACTATATAAGACCTTTTATCTGTAGATCCTAATTATAGATCTTTCTGGGTGCCATGTGAAGAAAAATCTGAGTAGTTCTGCATATAATTGCAGGAATGTTATAATCAACTCATGAATCACTCCTTACCTGATTTTTTCCCCCATGGACTACATGTGATAATCTAATGCTTAGTCTTATAATTATACTGAAGATTTGGTTTCTTTCTCCTAATTCTCTGTTGGTAGCAAATTTTTTCTAAAATGTACACTCAGAATTATAGCAAAAGACTAAATTGATAAAATGCATGTTTTCTAAGTGAGGAAATGATTTATGAGCAATAAAGTTCTTCAAAATGTCATATCGCATAATTAGGTAAAGTGCAGAGAATCTGACAATTACTAGACATTATCACAAAAATCACATGACATTTTCTGGGTCAATGGGTAGCTGCAACACTATAATTATATTTTCAGAGTAAACATTTTGTAGCTTTGGAATCCAGCTGTATGATTCTGAAATAATGACAGTCATGCTATTGTTAGGACACTCAGAGGTGTTGAACATAAAACTGCAGTTAACTACACCTTTGTGGAGCAGTAATTATGTAGAGTGTCATTTCATTTGAAGCCCTTGGATTTATCATTCTTATCTTTTGAGAGAGAGAGAAAAAAACACTAATGTGGAACATAAAGAGGCTTTGCAAGTAGCCCCCTCTTTGAAATGAGGTTAAATCTCTATGGAGCATAGCAACATTTGAAGTCCAAAGGGAAATAAGAAGGATATATTCTTCATACCTTCTAGAGTGAACAAAATAGGTAGACTGACATATTAACTTCTCTCTGAAACATTGTGTATAGTAGATTTACTCTAATAATCTCTAACAATAATATATAAAGTAAATGTTTTTACCTTGGTTTACAAGGGTAGGAATCCAGCACTTCAATTTCAGTATTTTGCCAAAATCAGCCACTTAGGATGTGTGGGGTGACATTTTGTTGTTAATATGACTCCCGTGCTTTTTCATCCCCAAACACCACCATTTAATTGTGTTCTTCATAGCCCTGAACTTTGCAAATCTTTCCTTTATTCTGAGAAGTTATTTTGACGCTTGAAAAGGGTTACCTAATGTTGTTTTGACATTCTTAATGTGTTTGATCTTTGCAGAATATGAAAGGGATTTCAGGCAATTTAGCTACCATCTAAAATGAATGAGCTCCTGAATAATGCAAGCCTCATTTTCTCATGTATTATACCTGCCACTTCACCTTTCAGTTTTTTCCCCCCTACAAGTTCAAATACTATTATTTTGGATCTTTTCTGTAAGAAATTTTATTCCCTAGTATTCTTGCCATTGACCCTGAATGTGTCACTATCACTCACTGGTATTTCATTTGTGAATTTCATCTATTTAACATTGATCTCTAGAACTAAAATAGCAGTGGGTTCACTCTGTGGAACCTGTAAAGAACTATTGCCTTAGAAATATTCCCAATAAAAGTGTTTTCATCCTTTTATTCTTAAACAATACCTATGATTTTCCACAAGTTGATAAAGTAATGTCAACTCTTCTAAGCACTAATGGAGATTTGGGACCAGTTAAACGAATCACTGTGTGCCTATTATTGTTGGGGTTCAAAGTGGCAAAACATGATATTTAACCTTATCAAAGGCTTACTTTCTCCCAAATGCTCTTCTCAGTGTTTGTGTATATTATTTTTCCTTATAAACTCATT